ATACAAGAAAGCACTGTCATTACTATACCCAGGTGCGTATAATTATAGTCAAAAATCCCCTACTCAATTGCAGACAAGGAAAAGGAATCTGATTACAGGGCAACAGGCAAAGTGAGAATAGTATTGCTATTTGAGGTCTGTAAGTACAGATGTTGGATGAGAATTAGTTCTTGTATATTTATGCTGTATCCCCTGCAATATCTGACTAACAGTAGCTATGCAATAAAAGCATAACCAGTGCCAAATATGGACAGCTACCTCTGTGTCCTGGCTGAGCCATCTGCGGGGCTTACTGCATACAAGGTACTTTACTCCCCTGCACACTGATCGGGTATTTCTTTTAAACTTCTGGTGAGACAATTTAAGCGACACCAACCGCTCATGCTAGGATAAGTAATACAGGTTCTGAATTACTTAGCCCTAGCTTTATGTTGATAATTATAAAGTTGGATAACCACCAACATATGAGCATAAGCAAGCTGCTGATATTTCATTTTCATCTCATGTACCACTGCTGATCCATCTGTTATACTGCACCTGCTGTATATTATTTGCTTTTTCTCAGATGCAGGTGACCTGTTCATAGTGAACAATAGGTTAGCAAAACTTAGCTCTTTTTTCTTCTATTCTCAAGTTGTCTGTGAAAAGATCACTACTTCCATATTTTTTTTTGTTTTGAAACTATTCTAGAAATGTTTTGTGTGGGTATAATTCGCCTCTGGATGGCTTGTGAATTGTTAGCAACAGGTATTGTTTCAAGTTTTCAACATTTATAATTCAAAATAGAGGGGTTTTTTCATTAGACATGGATCACAGATACGTTTGTCTCACCTCTCCTGATGAGCATAACTCTTAGATTCATGTTTCTCGTGTGCATACTTGAAATGGTGAATTTGACATCTGTTTTCTGCAATATTAGCTTAATATTTGTTCCAGAGCACATTCCTGAAAGTAAACTTCTGTAGGCTGCTCACAAAGAGGTGAGAATATAGTTAAAGCAAATGAATTTTAAAATTTGACAGTTCACCTATTTTTACTGCATTTGTCCAGCTGTAACTGAAATAAAAAAATCTTTCCAGTTAAGTCTGTTGGTCAATTAAAATACTTAATTTCTTTTTAACCTGTATTTTTCCCTTTATCGGTTGGCAGTGATGCTAAATACCAATGAGATTATTTGATTTACCTCCAACCTGTGAAGTTCAAGTAACTTATTTGGTTAAGTATTCAACCGGAACTTGTGAAGTTGATTGATCTCTATAGTAACTCTTCTTTTTTTTAAGGAATCATACTTTTTCCCCCTTAGTGCATAGGGATGGTCAGCAAATTTTTCACAATTTCCCAAAATTTCCTATTCTGCATGGGGACAAAACTGAGGCCTTTAGACACTTTCACACACAAAAACATGGGGGCGGGGCAGAGAGACACACACACACACACACACACACACACACACACACACACACACACACACACACACACACACACACCCCTAGCATAGCCTGGTGGTTAGGACACTCACCTGGGATGTCGGAGATCAGGGTTCAAGTTTCTGTTCCAAATCAGACAGAGCCAAGACTTGAATCTGGATTTCCCACATACCACCTGGTGTCATACCCCTAAGGCTATTGGCTATTCTCTTGTTTGCTGTTTTTTTAAACTAGAAATTCCCATCCTTGACTTGAGAAACCTTCCTGACAAAAGTCTTGCCATGAACAGAAAATTAAGCTGAACATTCTTCTATTTCAAGCCTATTATGAATCATTTTGGGGTGTGATCCTATGTCCCTTTCATAGGGTGGTGATGGTCAATGGGAGATTAGGGTGGAAGTTTTGGGTGCATAAGGAATACAGGATTACAGTCTTTTGTACAGTGTTTTTAGGCAGACACATGCTATTGGAGTGTGCCATACTATTTTAATATTTTACAAAATCTACTTACTGACATTTCACCTCTGCCTCATGGATTTTAATGGGGCTGTGCAAAGGGCAAGGAAGGAACAGAATACTTAGCTTTATGCCACAATGACTTCACATTTTATGATGAGTTGACTATCACACTGAAAATGTGCCCTATTCTGAGGACAAAGATTATAACACAAAGAAAACACACTGTAATATTTATGAGGCAATTGTAAGAAGAATAAGAAATAGTGTAATCCTAACTCATCATTAAGTCTTCAGACTGTTAGAAAATTCTTTTAAAAGGGATACATTCTGCCCAGGGACTCAATGTTGTCACTCTGAAAAACTGCAGTGCAATACTTTTATTCATCTCCTGGTATACCACACACAGGAGAGGTGCAACAAATATGTGATAAGAAGTTATGGGAAGATCTGAGGGCAGAACTTGTCCCAAAGACACTTAGGCCTGATTCTTCTCCTCTCTATTCCAGTTCCCCGGTTTGGAGTGAAACTATTGCAAATCAGTCAGTCTGAAAGTGACTGAAAAGTACAGTAACTATGTAAAATGACACCTTTTTACTTTACGCATCCCTGTATGTATTTACCATTTTAATCAAATTCATTTAAATCATGATTTAAATCACTAGTCAGGAAGACTCGATTTAATCATGGATTTCTACATAAAAGTGCATTCCTGTTGGTTGTTATAACCTTAATACATATTCTTCATATGTATTAATAGATGTAGGTTTCATTTTCAGAAGGTACGCACTATATTTTTTTAAAGTGATTTATTTTGAAAACTTTTCAGATTAGTTTTACAGCTATATCAGAAAATGAATGATTGTTTGGGTATTTCATTTACCAAAGGTAACTGAAGTAGATTATTTATGAAGTCATTGGGAGGTGAACTATCTCCAATTCAACAGGTTAATCATTAATATTTGGAGGATTTTCTTGCCATGCTGTATTAGGAGGAGAACATCACCAGACAGACATTTAAATTGTTTTATTTAACTAAAACAACAATGTTATGTATTCTGGATTTTTTTCTTCAACAGCAAACATATAATATTTTAACAAAACAAGCATATGAATTTTGAATTTAGTTAAACATTACAGTTTTTTAAAATCAGGTTTGTTTTTGTTAAAATTGTTTTTAATTGAAATTGTTAAATATTTTTTTAAAAAACAAAAATTAAATCAACTATGTCAGCCTGGTCAACATGAGAAACTTAAAATACTGGCTACTGCAGCTAACTCAGTCGTCTTCACCTTCATTTTCCTGTTTGTTCATAATGTGGAAAAGAAAAACAAGCTTTCCTATTTTTTAAGGTCCCAACGATTTCTCAATTTGGAATGAATTAGTCCAAAGAAAGAAAATATTCTTTCTACACCGGCAGAAGAAGCTACTGCTGTTTAAAAGTGAGATTATCACTTCAACAGTCTCCGAATCCAAATACTTAAGTAACTTTCCCCAGTTCACTGGTGTGACTTTCTTTAAACATCATCATCAAACATATATTTCTTGAATGGTTCACCCTTAGCTCTGAAGTTTATTATAGTTGGGATTATGGAGGGCTGATTGCTGGATGTCCATGTCATCGCCAACTCCTCCTCTTCAGCAGTTAAGGTTTGACCCTGGTACTGAATATTGAGAATATTTGCAAGAAAATGAGCTGGAGATAGTGGTTTGTCCCACTGTTTTTTTAAATGCTTGTAATTTAACTCTGTCATTGCATATTTCTCTTTTTAAGATCTCACTCCGTTCCTTCCAAATTTCAACAGCGACAGCAATAAAACAGTTATTTCCCTGCATTTTGTTCAAGGCGACAGAAATAGGCTTCAGGGTACTCAGCATGTGTTCAACATTTCTCTTAAGCCCAATGTTGAAAACTTTTGCTGTGACAGTGCCATCTATTTTCTCACGGTTTTGTTCACAAACTGTCGTCAGATTAGGCCAGTTCCTGATATAGTGCTCAAAATAGTCCACTACTGAGTTCCATCACATGTCTTGTGGGAGAGCTAGCTTGGTTCCTCCCACTTTTTTCAGAGCAGCTGCTGCAAAGTGGTTGTTCTGGAAGTATTTTGCACTTTCAACAACATTGGCCTTTATTTCTGGAACACTTAAGTCTTTGGCTAGAAGGTGCATCCAATGAGCACTGCAACGGTATGTTATTAGCTTGGGACTCTCTTCACTCTCTCTTCTTGGATAAATTTGCAGCATTGTCTGTGACCGAGCTGCATACTAGACATTTAAATTTTTTTCACAGGCACTTCTTGTAAGTATTCTGCTGTGTGTGTCAATTTCCTGATATATCAATTGTTTCTGTAAGGAAGACATTCCCTTAACAGGATCGTTGTGGACATTGCTTCACCTATCAAGACGCAGGTTAACAATTTTACCCTCTAGACCTTTTGCACACTGCTCAATTTCTCTTTCATACACTTTATCCAACAATTTGCCTGCTACATTTGCTCTGTCAGGTGGACTGTATCCTGGTCTTAATGACTGAATCATGTTAATGAAATGTGGGTTCTAAGTCATACGGAAAGGAGAGTTTGTTGCATAAACAAACTGGGCAATTTTTTCATCAATTACCTCTTTTTGTAGTTTGCTGGTTCTTATCACAAACTTATCTATGGTTGTTTCTGGATGTTTTTTTTTTTCTTTTTGCTACAGGTGATGATATACTGTGGCTATGTGACATACATGATGTGACTGAAACACTATCATTGGCAGATAACTCTGAAACTATAGAAAATGATGGTGATTTTGAAGGTGGATAGTCTTCAGAATCCTGTAGGTTGAGGATGGATTCTCCTGAACAAAATAAGTCAATGCAGTTATTTCATTATTACCATACTGTTCATTTAGTATTATTCCATTGCATTCACTGACACTCAGTACCACTTCAAAGGTGAAATTGTAAAAGGAAGATATGCCTATTTATTTTTTTATCACAACTGCATCTAAAATGATTGTACCGTAGAGTAACAACTATATTTTTTTTGCTCAAACATAAGAATTCAAGAATAGCCCAGAAGGAAGACAGGCAGTCCTTAAGAAAGAAGTATGAAATAAAAAAGTTTACCAACCTGAAGATCCTGCATGTTCAGACATGTTCCTTTCATCATCTTCAATGCAGCTTCCGCCTGATAAGGAAGACTTCTCATGATGTTGTTTCATTTTGGCAACCAGGCCTTGCATTTCTTTGTTGCACTGTTTGCATTTTGCATGCATGCCTGTCTTACCCACAGGTAGAGGAACTTCATTAAAATATTCCCAGACTGGGTCTCTTTTATGGCCTGCTGCCATTATAGGTTTTCCCTTCTAGTGAGAGAATGGTATGATAGATCTCAAATCAATGAAGTCTACGCTCAGAAAGACCTCAAGACTTCTGGAATATGCTGCTCAAACAGTTTCAGTTTTGTTTCTATTGTCGGTCCCTCTCTTCTCACATTTATCTCCAGACTTCTCCTTGTCCAGATCTATTCTGCTGCCAACAATCGTCTATTCATTGAACTTTTTGAAACTTTGCACTTTTAGAGAGCGGTAAGGGATTGACTCTATGTACACAAATTTGCAGAGGGGCAATAGGGTTGAGGTCTGTTATTTCTCACCTCTATATATTAATGTATTTAAAAACATTTTTGCTGTTAACAAGCATGTTACCTATGGAGACACAAATCCAGAGTTCGAGAACTTCAAAACTAAACATCTCTGATGGTATCTTCTAGACTGAGCACTGAGACCCATTGGGTAGATAGAAAGACTAACTTAAATAATAGATACAGAAGACCCTGGGACCCCATAAGATGGGGTCCCTAGTCCATGAACTATTGGAACTCATTTACAAAACTTTTGTTAAACATTACATGAATATATTGTCCCCTACTACAGAATTAGAATTTATAATCCCTATTCCATGATGAGACATTATAGCGCAAAGATATATCTTAATTAAAACTATCTCTAGATCGGATTTTTTTGATAAAATGCTTTTTGAGGAAAAAAAACCTATTTAAATAAAATCCGACTTTTTTAAAATATATTTTTTAAAACACATTGATTTTTTTATCCACTCTGGTATTTACTGATATTAGCTTATTTTAGTGACAAAAATAACACACAGAACAACACAAATAAAAGAGAATGAGCTGGATTTTATTCTTCATTGTGAATCATCAACAAAATTGTTTATTTAGTTCCTTTTTAATTATAGTTGTACAAAGCCACTGAAGCCCACAAGACTGCACAAATGACACAAAGGGCCTAATCTGGCCTGTAGGACTGTTACTGGCTATGAAATACAAGAAGAAAAAAGCTCAGTTTGACTCTCCAATTGACGCACTGGCAATGACTGAAGATATCTTTTTAACTTGTAAATTGCATATATTTTATGCAGAAATCAAGACAATAAACAATGGAAATCCATAAGGACATTTTTAGAGTCACTTTTCAGAGCTGAGCCACACTGGAAGATGAAGCTCTAACAACCAATATTGTAACAAAGATGTAGTGGCACAAAGTTGTTTAGTTCACCGCAAATGTACTATCTCTGGTCTCTTACTGCAGAGCTAATCTTCTTTATGGTGTGCCAGCATTTTAAACCTTCATTTGGAAAAATAAAAACTCACATGAAAAAGGAAATCATTCTAAACTTTTCACTTACCACTCCGTTAACAGAAAGCAGCTGGTCTCCTCGCTTGAGTCCTCCATGTCTTTCTGCCACCCCTCCAGGAATGATACGAGAAATATATATAGGAGAGTTTTGTTCCTTTCCTCCCATCACGTTAAAGCCAAGACCTTCATCAGTCTTTGGCAGCTCCACCACTCGAGGGTGTGAATGGCCTTCACTTGCTGCAAAAGCAGCAACTGTTGCCTGGAAGAAAAGACAGTTATTTGGTCATGTAATGAGATCACTGTTAAGCCCTGTTGTTTGTTTTGCAGAAAGAATTCGTTCACATGAAAATATTTTGAAATGCTATCAAAGATTTGAAAGCACTTTACAAACGTTAAGTCTCAAATCACTCCTTTGAAATAGCTGGGGAAACAGGCACTAAGAGAAGTTAATGACTTGCCCAATGTCACCCAGAAATAGATCCTAAAAGGCCGGATTGCTAGTCATCTGTTCTAACTCTGTAACACATTACTTCTCTTTTTAAAGTTGCTTTGTCACTCACTTCTTTCCTTACTGCTGTGCAACACACCGATATAACCTTTTGCTGTACTTCTAATTTATGTAACTTGGATAAAGTTAATTGTTCCCTCCCCCCCCCCCCCAATTTGTATGGGACTGATTATTTGGTTTATTCTTTGCCCCAAAAAAATCCTGAAGAAGGATATTTTCAACTATTTTATTAAATAGCCTCAATAAAATCCTCCTCTTGAAAGAAGCGCTGATAGATTAATAACTTTTATGACAGGGGCATGAGCTTTTATATTGTAACTGCACTTTATATAAATAGGTCTTGAAAAGTAATGCTACATAATCTTCAGATCATGAAAATATAAAATGAATTAAAACTAAATGACTATTCTCACTATAGAAAAATTACAAATATGTAAGGTATTGTAAATCTTGTATGAAGAAAAGAAAAACATTCTTTATTCAGTCTTCCACTAGCAATTGTCTCTTTTTTTTAATTGTAGACCCTGGTAAAGCATTAAGTAAACATTAAAAAATAATTATTTTTACTTTTCAACATATCCTCAGATTTAAAATTACTGCAGTCATTCTACATTATGTTAAAGCTTGTTCAGCATTCTAATAATGTTTATGCTTTAATTGAAGCTAGTAGATAATGTGAATATAATGGATCATTCTCAGTTATATGTACTTGCTCATGCAAACCTTGTCATCATGCGTACATTTAAATGTCAGACATGAATGCACTAGGAAAATGCAATGCAGACAGCCCAGAAATAACCAGGAAGTATTGCGATATTCAAACATTGCTCTGTAACCCTGCTGTTCTATATGAATAAGAAATGAGAATGGCAAACACTATTCAGAATTTTTCACCCTTTATTATACCATGTATCAATCATTTTTGTGTTTGCCTACGGTGTAAAAAAAAATCATAATCTAACATAATTTTCTACATTCAGTAGTAGAACCTTTACAAATCTACATTGTTCATTTGAAGTTTCAAGAAAAAGGTTAACTTGTAAGAAAAAGCCGAACTCAATATAACAAAAATAAAATAAAAAATCAAATGTAGGAAAATATGTTGCTTACTGTACGGTAGGCTAATTATTTTAAACGTACTGGTTACCATAGGGAACATTTTTCTGAGATCCTGCTGAGATCCTGTAGGTGTCTTTTATACATATTTCTGATTTGTCTGTTTTTACTATTGTCGGGGGGGGGGGGTGTTTGCTTCTTTTCCCCTAGTGTAGATTTACAAGGGTGTAATCACACTAAAGCTAGTGAAATTTTGCCATTGACTTCCCTGGGGGAAGGATTAGGTCTTAATGAATTATTTTCCTGAAAAAATACCATGGCTTTCCTAGAATACACTTACTGCACGATATGTACATAACCTGTTTACCAAGTGGTAGGTAATCTTCTTTTACCATTTGGTGCACAGGGAGTTAATTCCATGATGAAGCCCTGTTGGAAGCAATTATTTTTGTTCATCCACTGAAAACACAAAGCATATTACATATTGGGTACAATAGGGATTCTTCCATTGATACAGGGGAATTCACACATCGTTACCACTCACTTTTATCAGACTTACATACTTGGGCCCTGTTTTTCAGAAGTGATGGGCACCCACAGCTCCCATTGACTTCAATTGGAGTCTTCTGTGCTCAGCACCTCTGAAAATCCTACATGCATTGATTGGAGGCTAGACCACCTGCTACTTGGGATGAGCCCTATAGGAGAATTTGTCATGAAAATATTGATATTCCAGGTTTAATTCTACAGAATGAACCAGTAGATTTGCTTTTGCAAACTGATTTTTCAATAAACCACCAAATCCCATGATATCATTCTCTTTTCTTAAGCTACAGAAGCAGCACAAAGGTTAAATTTGCCATTAGGATTGTTACCTGGGAAGTAGCACTGGTTCTAGACTCTGGGCTGCCACTGATGTCTAAATTTTCTTACAGAGCACACACGAATACCTGAAACACACACGCACACAGTCAATTACTAGGTCACTTTGGTAACAGGTACTTCAATAGTTGCACAGGTCTTACCTTTGCAGTGGCCCTGGCACGGAATTCTGGGCAGCCATTAACAGTTATGGTTTCATGCATATATTGATATACCTAAAATGTTCATGGAAACAAAGAGGAATTAATTATAGGAACAAAACCTTAATTTATTTTACCCTATCCAGGATACTCTTTCCATCATAAGATGGCTTCATTGATGTTCCATTAATACAATTAGAGAATCCTGTGTTTGTTGCCCTAGCTGTACATTTAGTTTCCTTGAAGACAATCTTTGCAATCCTCCCTCTAAGCCTCCCAAAACTGCTCTCTCCCCATCTATGGGTCCACAATTTTATAGAGCCAATCCCTATTCCATCAGTGGCCACCTTCTGGCCATGTCTGCCTTGGACTGTGTCCATTGTCTCTGACAGAAACTTGTTGAGTTTCTGTGACCTCTGAACCCCCTCAAGAATTGGGAAGTCAGGAGGCGGAAGTAAAACAAACAAACAAAAAAACCCCAATCCACTTTCCTCGTAGGGTCTGTGGAGGGAAGTCCAAATTAAATCTCAGGGAATTTAATTGTACAATGTGGGCATCGTCGCTCAGTGCTACAGACCTTCGCTGTCTAAGTTGGGGTGGTGTTGAATTTAATCTTCGCTGTAACCTACTGTCATTAATCTGTCATGACAAATGGTGGGGAATAAGGGATGGCAATCTGGGCAGTAGGTTAGGAATGGTTAACATTGGGGATGGCCCTTTATGGATTGGGATCCTATGTTGCCACAGAAGTTGTATAAGGTGAAGAATCCCAATAGCTGTAACTTTCTGCACAATGTTCTCTTCCTTGCTCCTCTTTCTCTTGCCCCAACCCTCCCTTTTCATCCTTCCCACTTAAATCTTCTCTCTTAAAGAATACGGAGATGGCATCTTCTCTCATGGCGTTATCCTGGGTCCCTCGGAATGGGTGCAGAGTGGAGGTGATGGAGTTCTGATACCCTGCCCTGGTGATGAACACCCTTTTTATTTTATTTTTTTAAAAAAACTAGATAGTCGGTGAGTGGCTGTTGGGAGCTGTAGATAAGCAGAGGCAGTAAAGGCTCAGGCAGCAACAGAAGAAACAGAGCCTGGGTGCCAGTTGCACTACCCCCTTCCCTCATCCCCCCTGGTAGCTCAAACCACATGCACAACTCATCAGTGTGGGTTAGAGAGGATAGTCTGTTCTACCTAGGTAGCTGCCATCTTTAGGCAACAGATGTTGGGATTCACAGGCAGCCTGGCAGGACAGAACACTGCTAGGAAAAAATTGAATTTGAAAAAAAAAATTTGAATTGTGGAACATCCCACATAATGCCTAACATCTGAAAGGTACGGTTAGAATCCCTGTGCTGGAAATGGCTCAACTTGATTATCATACACACTGTAAGGAGAGTGATCACTTTAGATAAGCTATTACCAACAGGAGAGTGGGGAGGGGGGAGAGAAAACCTTTTGTAGTGGTAAACACCCATTTTTTCATGGTTTGTATGTATAAGAACATCTTCTGTATTTTCCACAGTATGCATCTGATGAAGTGAGCTGTAGCTCACGAAAGCTTATGCTCAAATAAATTGGTTAGTCTCTAAGGTGCCACAAGTACTCCTTTTCTTTTTTTGATAACCTTCTGTGTAATGTTTACAAGGAAATATTCATTAACCACATGTAATTCCTCCGTTAGCTGTTCTCTTACAAAGCCAGAGGTTTTGCCAGTTCTTGTAATTTGTCTTGAGCAAGAGTAATAAAATTCAAAAGGAGTGTCTTATTTCTGTGGAAACTTGGACAGACAATTAGTATCTCTTGTGGCTTGCCTGTTCTGAAAAAATCAGTTGGCCCCCTAAGTATTTCCAGCTGTACTGGGAAAAATCTACAGAATGCCCTTTCTGTATCTGATATACAATTCAGTATTTTTCTATAGCATTGTTTATACAGTTTCATATTGCACAGATTAATTTGTATGTATAAATGTGGAATAAATTTTACATTTGCAGTTACACTGTACCACACAGGTAGCATGTGCAGATGTGGTGGGAGAGAGAGGAAGAAGGATGCAATGGCTAAGTTTTGGGATGGAGCAGGATTCTTTTTGTTTGTTTGTTTGTTTTGTTTATTTATTTGTTTATTTATTTTTTTAATATGAGAGTAGAAGCTGCCCCAATGAAGAGGGGAGAATGCAATGTGCAGGTAGGTGGATATCAAGGGAATGGCAAAACAAGGGAAGGGGCTATCCAATAGATAATTGAAATTGTTTATAGCATCCAAATGTGGTAGGCACTTTCCTACAGAGTGGAGAACTCTTTGATTATCACCAGCATAGAAATCATACTAGGGCTAAATTCTGAACAGTAGTGTCTAATGACAGATTAAGAGAACAGGATGAAATCTTTTGCCCATCTCTTGTTAGGGTGACATTCTGACCCTGTTGAAAAGTACAAATGTACATTGACTTCAGTAGGGCCAAGATATCACCCTAAAACTTAAAAATAAATAAATAACTAACAATAACAGAGTACTGAGATCACTGACTCAGTAATCATTTTGAAACTTCCTTTTTTTGTTTACATTGGGTGGAACAGGGGTTAAAAGTACATAATTAGCATTGCTTTAGGTAGCTCAGTTTAGTGCTTCTAAATATTAAGCTGTAGGAATACAGTAGAACCTTAGAGTTACGAACACGTCGGGAATGGGGGTTGTTCGTAACTCTGAAATGTTCATAACTCTGAACAAAACATTATGGTTGTTCTTTCAAAAGTTTATAACTGAACATTGACTCAATATAGCTTTGAAACTTTATTATGCAAAAGAAAAATGCTGCTCCCCCCCCCCCCCTTTTAAAGTAGTTTACATTTAACACAGTACTGTACTGTATTTGCTTTTTTGTCTCTGCTGCTGCCTGTTCCAGTTCCAAATGAGGCATGTGGTTGACTGGTCAGTTCATAACTCTGAGGTTCTACTGTATAGGATTTACCATATCAGATCAAATTACTACCCCGCTTCAGGCATCCAGCGTCCAGTGTGTACTGTTGCTTCAAAACCAATAATGCACTGAGCCAATTACACAATGCTGTATGTTCTTCATACTCTCATATCTGTTTTATCTAGAAGCATGAGATCTGATTACCCTTACTATCATTGCTTGCACAACTACAAATGTTGCAGACCACAAATTAACAATATTTGGCTGACTTAAAGATCTATGATGACAGTGAATTGTGTTGAGAATTAACCACAGCATTCTATCAAGCTAAATCCTAAGAAGTTATTTGCGACATTGATTATGTAGCTTGGAGAAGCCAAGGGGTGGTGGGTATTCTTATCAACGTGTATATGGCAGGTTGAGGCAGAGGTACATAGGAAACTTAAGTGAATGCTGATGAGAGAACGAGGCTTTTAGAATGCATTGAGTCAATGTAATGTTTGTCTTTCTGTCTGTCTTTCTGCAATCAGACATGCAAAAGCAAGAACTTCAAATCTTTCCATTCAATGAAAATTTTTTTAAATTAGCAAATTTAAGATGGTGTTCTCTAAAGAATTGTCAGTATCACCATGGTGACCATAACATCTCTAATATAGTTCTATTCGGACAGGAATTTCTCTTGTAATTTAAAACCCTTTCACTACAAACAGTTGATGCTATTACCCTTGAATATCAGCTTGATGAAACAAGCAAATCCAGTTACCCTATGTGATTGTCACATAATGCTTAATATAATTTGAGATTAAGAGAGATAAAATATACATCTAAATTACTTTCACATTATTAAGTTAAACAAAACAATAAAAGGATTAACTATACCTGTTCCAACAAGCCCTTGAGGCTTTTAGTATGTTACAGATTACTTGTTGTAACATCATATACAAAGCATATAGAGCTCCATAAATAACTATCAAATGTCTGTAGCCACAATATCTCTTTTATCTAAATTATCTCAGTATCACCTCAGACATTTAGATTGTATTATGCACAGAGAAATGGACATAAGCAATCCATTCTGTTGCCTATCCTATGTGTACAGATACACTAAAAATGTTCTTTGTTCTCAAGGTAAAGAAGATCATTTTTATTCTCAGAAGGGAACATGGCTTTTTTTTTTTTTTCCAACACACATTATATGTCAAGGACCAGAAATAGTTTTAAAAATCTTATTGCCAATTCCAACATGAGCAATACATCCAATGAAAGATTTCTTAACAAACTGCAATTCTCATAAATATAACAGAATTTTTTAGAAGACTCACCAAAGATTTACTCAGCTAAAACATCACTCATGGCAAATCAAAGATGATGACAAAGGTACAGTACCATAATTACAAGTGTCTGAATTAATCTTTAGGGATATTTATTAAAGAGGTCTTTGAAAATGATGTCCTATGGTGCCCATGAAACACCAATCATCTCGAAAGACCATGTGGGATCCAGTTTAATGTGCCATGTCTTTTTTCTCATTTCAGTGGAAAAGCAAACAGACTATAATTGCTTTCATTTTAATCTTTTTTTCTCCAACAAAAATAATGTGAATATACAAACCAAGAAGAAGTCAAATGTTCAATTTAATTTAAAGATGTTTGCCAATCTAACTATCCATATAAAAAGAAAAATCCCTATGTTTTCCAAATAATATTGCAGGGTTATAGCCAAGAGGTTTTCCTTGCCACCAAAGTGAACTTTAAACTATAATAAAGTATCATCAATAAGATGAGGCACTGAGACATGAGGAAGTAGCATGAACATTACTAGATTGCAAAGTACTTGTGTGTATGGTTGGTGCAATGGTGGCCTGTTCCTTAAAGGGCCTGGGGCCTGGTCAGTTTTCAGACCTACTGGAAAGGGAGTGAGTGATTATAAAAGCCAGCAAGTGGCTCATTTGAGGGGGAAGGGCAGGGAGACGCTGCAGGAAGGGGCAGGGTCCTTCAGGAGCCCCTGTAGAAGGAAGGCAGGCTCCATGTGGTAAGTCCTGGGACTTGCGGCTGGCTAGTAAGCCCCAGCTGACAGTCTCCGTTTTCCTTTTAGGAGTTTGTGGACATTCAGACAATAAATGGAGGCCAAAGCCAAGGCCTACAGACTAATTTGGTATGGCTGA